GGGTTTGTGCCCCAGTCCAGGAGGATCCCACATGCCGCGGAGCGGCTGGGCCCATGAGCCATGGCCGCTGAGCCTGCGCGTCCGGAGCCTGTGCTCCGCAACGGGAGAGGCCGCAACAGTGAGAGGCCTGCGTACCGCAAAAAAAAAAAAAAGAAAAAAAAGAAAAGTAAAAGTCTTAAATCTGACTTGATTTCTTGGGGACCCTGGCATGTGAGTCATACTCAAGTACACAGTCAAGTTAAATTTTAAAACCAAAATGCTAATAATTTCTACTTAGAAAATTATTAGTTTAGTACCATAATGTTACTTTAAAGTATTTTCGAGCTCCCATTTTCTCTCAGAGATGAATTATTTTACTCTCAATATTAAGGCAATATACACCATTGAGTAGGTTACATGACATTGTCTACTAAATTATTATTATTCCTCTTGCTCTTTTCAAAGACCTGGATAACAATAAATGTTTGAAAACTTAATTTTAAAGTGCTTACTACATGTAGACAAAATTACACTACTCCCCAAAACAAAAGCTATAAGCTAAAAACACAGGGCTCAGTGAAGCAGAAGACATTTCTGTGAAGCCAATTTTTCAATTTCTGATACAAGTAAACACATGATATGAAAAAGTGAATTCTAACATATATGCAAAGCTAACAAGACAGCACTTTAATCACTCACCATTATGAACATTTGCACCAAGCTTCCCTTAGTTATCTAAAAAAGCTAAACTGAGTATGACTCTGTTCAGCTCTCTGGACTTGAACGCGGCAGTTCGTGCTTAACTTGGCCTGTCCTAGAAGACTAATGGCCCAGGCAGTGTTGCTGAAAGTGTCAACCACTGTGACACCACGCACCATCCCACACGGGCACAGGAAAAGCAAAGACCACTCAACCCAGGCTTTCTCCACCTCTTAGCGGTTGTAGAGATGAGTGAACAACACATCAAATGCGGGAAAGTCCCGGCACCCAGGCTGAAATTCCACCTCCGATCTGCAAGTGGACTTTCCATGACTGGCTCGGGCTATTCCACGTGACTTCCAGAGGTGTCTGGGGACAACCAAGACACCCTCAACAAGGAGGTTTCTCAGATGCATTCCAGCTCTGAAGCAGGCTCTACATCCAGGAGGGGGAAGGGGCAGGAGGGAGTCGTTGCTACCCCATCAAAGACAGCCACCCCACTCCCCGGGGCTGCTAAGGTGGGCGGGAAAACACATTCGCACAATAGCACATTTAGCAACACCCGAGGACAATGGCTTCACAGTTTGTTGTTCACAGCCCTTCTGAGAATCCATAGTTTTCCTCAGAACCTCAGTCCAGAAAAACATAAATACACTCATAATTTTGCCTTCCACTTCAGAGGGGTACACAAACCCATCATGTTCCCCCCTACACACAGCCAGCCTGTGGACCCCAGATTCAAACCCTGTCCCACCGTCAGGCAGACAGAGAAGGACCACGGAGTAGTCTCACTTCTCAATTCCCTAAGCATGTCTAGCCTGGCCACCAACCATGTCCCAGGACCATCCTGGTCCTCAAGGACTGTAGTACTAGCTTAGCTAAGAGGAAGAAGTGACACAGCATAAGTTTCAACTGTATGGGTCAGGTGAGCAGGGGATGGAGTATAGGAGACCTGCTGATAGGAGGGAGGTAATGTCCAAACAAGTCAACTGAACCTGGTCTGACCTAATACTTCCTCAAAAGGGACCCTGAATCATCTTGTGAGCCATCCTTAGGGCTTGTCCAAGGGTTGTCAGCCAACCACAGCTCTCAAGCGAACTAAGAAAAAGGAAAGAGATTTAGGAAGTAGCTTATCCATATGATTTTTATGTCTTTCTTCCCCACTATTTCTCTCCCTTGCAAAACACAGTAAGCTTAGTCACAAGGAATTTGTGTCCTACAGTACAGCCTGTAGGAAATGAGCCATCCCTTCCCCTACCCTTCACTGCACCTCTCAGAGTCACAGCCCGGATGTACAATATAATGGCTACAAAAGTTGGGCTGTGATTTGTATTCATAATTTCTATCCACTGAATGAATTAAAATGACTCTGTGGGGTATCTCAAAACATCTGCATTTTATGGTGTTTCATATTTCCAGATGCAAATATTTTACTCAATTCCTGCACAGGTCAAACCTAACTCTCTGGGTGGAAAGAAGGGATTTGGCTCCAATGACAGAACAGCACAAGATTCAAAAACTATTTTAGGACCTAGTTCAGGCATTATTACACAATTTATTTATATCTACACTCAACTATTAGGCTGCATATATCATCATGTAAGAACTGATGTGCACACATTATACTGCAAAGTATATAATGGCAATGTTTATATGCTGCAGTACAGTTTCTCTAGCCCTTAAGAAAATATCAGAGTGCAATGAGAAGTAGCCCCACTGCCCGTATAATAAACAAGGAAGCCCAGAACATAAGATACGATGTTCAGAAGCTGATATTTGAAGTTATCTTCACCTCCTTTCCCTGGCTCCCCCTTGCTCTCTTATGAGAGTTAAAAGAGATCATCAAAGACAACAAAAATAGGAAGAAGAAGAAATTAAGCTAGTAAATAAATGGCAAATTGGAATATTTATTCCAGAAAAAAAAAAAAGTGAAGTCTGCATGATTATATGTCATGGCCCTCTACCTAGTTTTGCTGAGAAAGCCAGAACGACATGGGGGGAGGTCCCCACCCAGGCATCAGGGAACCTGGCCCTGAAACCTACTCCCTGCGCCTCCCTGGCCAAGCTGCACCTATCAAATCTGCAACTCAGTTTCCTAACCGATAAAATGACAAACCTAGGCTGGGTTGTTTACATTCCCTTCAGCTCCACGCCCATAATTCTACTGACAGTAGAGAGAAAAGGCACCTGTGCCACAAAACCTTTTCATCAGGGAAGAGTGTTCCTTTTGCACCATGACCCATTTCCCCAGGTGCTCAGACTCTGGGAACCACATCCAGCAGAAAAGCTTGCCAAATAACTCTGTGTACTTGGGGGACCGTGGTTCGGACTTCAACGTTTCTGCGTCTCCCAGGAGGGCACGACACAGCTGAGGCCGAGAAACAGCATCTGAGGGCCAGGGCCGCTAGGTGGGGAGCACAGCTGAGACGACCGGGGCCTAAGTGCGGCAGCAGCAGTCAGCCTGGAAGCCGCAGGCAGGAACCAGCACAGGCTGGGAAAGGGCAGAGGCAAAGACCGCCACCATGCGCACCCCAACTTCACCCGCTGCAGAGTCTTAGGTAGGGCTCAAACCCAGGGAGCAAAACTGCAGCCACATCTGCTCACATGGGCCTGCACAGTGGTTTCAATTAAAAAATAAAAGGCTACTAGTTAAAAATCAGGGGAATTCCCTTGAAGTCCAGTGGTGACAATCTCTGGCGGGGGAACTAAGATCCTGCAAGCCGTGTGGCACAGACAAAAAATTTAAAAAAATAAAAGTGAAACACCTGGATGTAATTTAAAAATAAAATAAAAATCAGGACATTTCAAACAAAAGTCAAAATATCTGGAATCTTCTATAGGCTGGAACTTAGTGGACCCTGTCCCCATAGGACTCAGCTCTCCAGGAACCCATGTGACACCTGCCTAGCTCCTGGGGGCAAGAGTTTGAGACCTCCTGCTCTAAATCTTAACCCATTAAGTGTGGACAATACCATCCCAAGGGGCTTGGGTGTTCAAGGAGAAGGTCAAAACCCACGATAAAGAGCCATGCAGGCGAGAATTACTGTAATACATTATATGCAATAACAGCTCCCCCAGGACCCCTTTTTAGGAAATGGGGGGGAAAAAAGCACATTTCCAGCCAATTAAGATCTCTGTCAAACTGGTTACCTGAGTGCTTTCGTGAATTTTGGAATTCCAAAGGCATTTATACGTGACTAGAACTTGAAAGTGCAGAAAAGTTTCAGCCTTCAAGTTTATATTCTGCTTCCACCCCTGCCCCCAAATCCTTGCAGAAACTGTAAACTCTTCCGATGTACGCAGCCGCCTTTACAGTTCAATAAGGAATTGATCTAAGCAGCACTGCCTTTCGTATTTAAAAATCAAGGCGGTTGGGGACATCTAGTTAAGCAGCTAACGGGCAAAAGAATTGGGGCAGACTCCGTCCAAAGTCTGTCCAACAGGTGGGACGCTCATCAAGCGCAGACTTGCCTTCCAAGAACAAGCAGGTCGCGTGGCTCAGCTTTCCCGGGGTTGTGACAGCGACAACCTCAGCCCCTTGCCGCGACAGGTTGGGGGGAAGCGCTAATGGAGTGGGTTATAAGATAATATGATTCTGGAGTCTGTTTCCCAAGTTGCTGGAGCTTTCTTTAGCTTTAGAGATATGGAAATGTCAAAAAGGCGGGGGAGGGTATTGGATAACCAGAATTTTAAAACGCGCCTTCCGTTAAAACTTTTGTCATCGGACACACTGGATACAAAAGTGTCTTCACCGACGACCTTACTTAAAAGCAAGGGGGCGAAGGGCCCTCCGCCGGCTCCTCCCCCGCCCACCTCACCCCACTCCACGCCCGCCCGTGGGTGCCGAGCCCGGAGCCCCACGCCGCTCCCGCCGTCCCCGCCCCGCGCCCCGAACTCACTGCTCGGCCGGGCACCGCACCGCGGCTCGCGGCTGGCCCCCGGCCACCGCTTTCTCGCCCTCAAGCGCCGCGGCCCCCGCCTCCCGCGCCGGTTTCTCGGCACAGCTCTCCCCCGGCCACGCTCCGGGCTGAAGCATCGTCCCCCGACTCATGGAGCCTCCGCCGGCGGCGGCGCCGCAGGGGTTCGGCCGCCTCCCAGCGATCCGGAGACCCTCCCGTCGGGGACCCAGGCCGTGGCCGCCGCTGCAGCTCTGCTGCCCGCCGGCTACCGACGGTTCACAGGACGCTTCCGCACACGTCACCATCGCCCGCCCCGCGACCTCTGACCCGCGGCGAGGGGGCGCGGCCCGCGACGGCTGGGAGTCCTGCGACGCGGAGCCTGCGCATGCGCCTGCGCGGGCCGAGCCGTCCGAGAGGACCGCCCACGCGAAACACTACAGCGCTTGCTCCACCCCCGCGCGCCGCCGGCCAGCCCCAGAGTTCCCAGCGCGCGGTCATTGACCTAACAGTTGCGGCATCTCCTTGTCCTCGAGTACCCGGGCGTGAGGGAGAGAAAGCGCTGGACGGGCGGCGGGACTCGGCCTCGGTGAGGAGGAAGAGGGCCGGCCTGGGGCGTGAAGGGTACTACTATGTTTGGGCGCCTTACAGTGTCGCTCTGGGCTTCGGAGCCTCGCCCTCCGCCAGAGGCTCCTCGGCTGTAGAGCGAGGAATGTGGTCCAAGTGGGTGATGTGCTGCTTCCCCGGCCTCCCATGGGCGATGCCGTCACCACCCAGCCCCGAGCCTGGAGCCCGGCGGGCTCTGGCCTTCGGCGTGGTGCCGGGCTTGTCGCTCCAGAGCTGAGTTAACAGCCATCTCCTCCGTGAGAAGGGGGACACGGTCCTATCCAACCGGTGAGCCAGCGCAGCAGCGTGTGTGTGTGTGTGTGTGTGTGTGTGTGTGTGTGTGTGTGTGTGTTGTTGGACTACATTCTTGCAAATAGGAAATTTGGGGGGCTTCCCTGGTGGCGCAGTGGTTAAGAATCCGCCTGCCAATGCAGGGGACACGGGTTAGAGCCCTGGTCTGGGAAGATCCCACATGCTGTTGAGCAGCTAAGCCCGTGTGCCACAACTACTGAGCCACGTGCCACAACTGCTGAGCCTGCACTCTAGAGCCCACGAGCCACAACTACTGAGCCCATGCTCAAGAGACTGCAAGCCACAACTACTGAGCCCACGTGCCACAACTGCTGAGCCTGTGCTCTAGAGCCTGCAAGCCACAACTACTGAGCCCACGTGCCACAACTGCTGAGCCACGACTGCTGAGCCTGTGCTAGCCCACGAGCCACAACTACTGAGCTGCATGCCACAACTGCAGAGGCTGCACTCTACAGCACGCAAGCCACAACTACTGAGCCCGCGTGCCACAACTGCTGAGGCTGCGCTCTAGAGCCTGCGAGCCACAACTACTGAACCCTCGTGCCATAACTACCGAAGCCAGGAGACCATGCTTCACAACAACAGAGGCTGCTGCAGTGAGAAGTCCATAAACCACAACAAAGAGTGGCCCCCGCTCACTGCAACTAGGGAAAGCCTGCAGCAACAAAGACCCAACACAGCCAAAAATAAATAAATAAATAAATAAAATAAGTCTATTTTTAAAAAAACCAATAGGAAATTTGATTTAGGAGGAGCAAGAGCAAAGGGAAAATATTAACAGACTTCAAAGATGAGAAGACAAAAATGCTTCCTGTCCAGGGAGGGAATAGCGGAGTAGCTGCTAAAGATGAGCAGCAGTCATAGGTGCAAGGGGCAAAGAGTGCAGGGCCAAAGTATGGAGGAAGGGAATGGCTTGGGCAGTTCAGAAACCTACAAGGGGTTCTGGGGTAAAACGGGTTCATAATGGGGTTTTATTGAAAGATGAACCTGGAAGAAGGGTACTGGAGACCAGATCTTGAAAAGCCTCCTTCAGCTGATGAGGAACCTTGTGTTTGATCCTCCTTGAAAGATCGGAAGGAGATTATTTTGTCTGCAGTTAGAGGAAAGGTTGGAGAAGGGCAAGACAAGGAAACCAATATAGGGAGACTATGTAGTAATGGGCATCAAAGGGAGAAACTGGCTGAAAAGAATACTTGCATTTTATGGCAAAGAACTGTGGCGGGTTTTCCGCTTTAATTTTATTTGAAAAAGTAAAATACACATGCTAAAAAAATTCAGACCACACAAAAGAATATGCAGTCAAATTTTGTATGGATGTTAAGGGTGTGGGATTATAGTGGGATGGCTAGTGTCCCCTAAAATTCATTCTCCAACTGGAAATGCAATGTGACCTTATTTGGAAATAGGTTCTTTGAAGATGTAATCAGGTAAAATGAGGTCCTGCTGGATTAGAGTGGGTCCTAAATCTAATGTGTGGTATCCTTATATGAGAAGAGAGGATGCAGACATATATAGACACAGAAGGAATTAGGACATGTGAAGATGGAGGCAGAGATTGGGGTGATGTAGTTAGAAGCCAAGAAATGCCAGGAGCTGCTGGTAGCTAGGAAAAGACAAAGGTTATTCCAAAGAGCCTGCAGGAGAAGCATGGCCCTGCTGACAACTTGAGTTCAGCTATCTACTCTCAAGAACTGTGAGAATAAATTGCTGTTGTTTTAAGCCTCTCGGTTTGTGGTACTTTGCAGTAACAGCCCTAGGAAACTAATACAGGGATAAAGATGAAGGCTTGTAAAATACTACTAGGCTGAATTTATTGATAAGAGCCTACAAAGCAGATACATTTTACATCAAAAGGTTAGAAAAAGATTAAGTTTGTTTGATTGTTTGCTGAGTATGTCTCTTCCAATTGTACCCGTGGAACTAAGAAAATAACCACAAGATGGCTTTCAGAGCCCAATGGACCCACTGTGAGAAGAAACTGAGCGAAAACACCATTGATCACTTGACTTCCTTCCACCCAAAAGTGCCTACACTAAATGAAGTTGAAGTGCCAGAACTGCCTAGGATACTGTAGAGGAAGATCTCCAAAGTCTTGGCAAGATGGGAATCTTAGAGTTGATTTATCATGTAAGACTTTCTCACCCACCTCAGGAGGGTCCAGAGGACATTACCCATCAACATGACTATGAGAAGTAATTTATGAAGTGAGTCCCAGCACCCTTGAAGAGATCTGCAATTGCTCCTCTCTGTATTCAGATGTATCTTACAATGGAACCTGTTATCAAACTGAGATTCTTAAATGCAGTGGTGATGATGGGATCTCAGGATGGCAGGTAGGTACCGGTGTGGTTGCTATAATGGACAGCTGAGCCAAAGCAGTAATCAGAATTGTCTGACTCGCAGAGACCTGTGGTATTGGCTAGTTGATCATGGTGTCCCTAGAAAAGAAATAGATGGATAATTACTAAATTCTTACTTGGTCTTTATAAGCAGAAGAGCTCTGGGAACTCCCTAGTGGTACAGTGGTTAGGACTCAGTGCTCTTACTGCCGAGGGCCCTGGTTTAATCCTTAGGGAGCTAAAATCCCACAAGCTGCACAGCGCAGCCAAAAAATAGATTAGCAGAAGAGTTCTGGGTCTATGAACAGAAACCCTAACTTGTGTCACCAAAACAGAAAGTCACAGCCCCTCAGTCAGTTCCCAGGCTTGAGCCAATTTACATACCCAGAACCCTGAATGAAGGGCAGGCCAGATCTTCCTGAGGAAGGACCCTACTTCAGTGCCAAAAATGTATAGTGTTAATTTTTCCCCCAGCCTTCCCCACAGGGTCCTATAGCCATCAACAAGAGTGACTGTTCGTTGGAGGAAAGGAAATAACCAGACTTTTGGGGCTTAGTAGACAGTGGCTTTGACCTAGTTCATGGAAACCCAAAATATCACTGTAGTATCTACCTATCAGAGTAGGGGCTTGTGAAGGTCAAATTATCAGTGGAATTTTAGCTCAGGTTCATCTTGCATTAGGCCCAGTGGGTCTCTGAACACATCCTATGGTTATTTCCCCAGTTCCGGAATGCATAAAAAATGGACATGCTCAGCAGCTGGCAGGATCCCCACAATGGTCCCCTGACCTGTAGAGTGAATGCTGTTACTGTAGGAAAGGACAAATGGAAGCCACTAGAACTGTTGCTACCTATAAAAATGTAAACCAAAACAATACCACATTTTTGGAGGGATTGCAAAGATTAGTACCACTATCAAGAACTTGAAAGTTGCAAAGGTTGTGATACGCATCACATCCCTTTTCAACTCACCTATTTGGCATGTGCAGAAGACAAATGGATCTTGGAGCATGACTGGATTTTTGTAAATCCGATTATGTGATGATCCCTGTTGCACTGCTATTCCAGATGTGGTTTCATTGTTGAGCAAATCAACACATTTCCCAGTACCTGGTGTGCAGCTATTGATCTGGCAAATGCTTTTTCCTTTATATGTGTTGAAAAAGACCGCCGGAAGGAATCAACTGGCAAGGTCAGCAGCACACCTTCACTGTCCCACCACAGGTTATATCAACCCTTCAGCCCTATGTCATGCTTTAGTTTGCAGGGACTAAATCCCCTTCCGCTTCCACAGAACATCACACTGGTCTATTATGTTGATGATGATATGCTGATTAGTCCTGGTAGACAGGAAGTACCAATTACTGTACACATATTGGTAAGATATTTGCATGTCAGAGGATGGAAAATAAATCCACCCCAATTCAGAGGCCTTCTACCTCAGTGAAATTTCTAGGGGTCCAGTGGAGTTGAGTATATCAAGATATCACTTCTAAGTGAAGGATAAGTTGTTACATCTGGCCCTTCCTACTGTTAAAATAAAAAAGAGGCATAAAACCAAGTGAGAGAAGAGAAGTCTCTGCAACAGTCCAAGCTGCTGTGCAACTTACTTTGCCACTTGGGTCATATGATTCAGTTGATCCAGTGATGCTTGAAGCGGCAGATAGAGATGATATTTGGAGTCTTTGGCAAGTACATATAACTGAATCACAATGCAAACCTTTAGGATTTTGTAGCAAAGCCCCGCCATCCTGTGAAATAACTATTCTCCTTGTGAGAAACAAGTTTTGGCTTGCTGATGGACCTTAGCAGAAATGGATACTTACCCATGGGCCAAGTTACAATGCAACCTGAGCTCAGTGATAAATCATATTGATGGTATGTAACCTTGATATGATCGGATGCAAAGGGCACCACACCTCTGTGATCTTCCAAACCCATAACCCCAGTCTAATGAGAGGAACAGTGGACAAATTACAAACTCCATTAGAGGGGCATCCTAAAAATTACTTCACCAGTTCTCTTCAAAACTGTCAAGGCCACCAAAAAGAAGAAAAGTCTCAGAAACTATCACTCAAGAGGAGCCTAAGGAGACATGACAACTAAATGTAATGTGGTATTCTGGATGGGGTCCTGGAACAGAAGAAGACATTAGGTTAAACAACAGAAGTATGAATAAACTATGGACTTTAGTTAATAATGGATCAAAATTGGCTCATTAAGTAATAAATATACCATACTAATGTAAGATGTTAGTAATAGGAGAAATTGGGTACAGGGTATATAGGAACTCTGTACTATCATATCCATTTTTCTATAAATATAAAACTATTCCCCCGCCAAAGTCTATTATATTAGAAAAAACTCAAACTCAAATCACCATGTCACAAAATGATAAACCAAGACTTTCCAAAATAAGGAAGAATGTCAAATCATGTTCTTATTTTGTACTTCAATAGAAAGATTTAAATTTAAAATTTAATTATTTCATCTTTAATCCTTTAAAATTGCTATTGTGTATGTGTTTTATAGTATACATAATACATACACACAGAGGTACACATGTGTATTTTTAATGTATATGTGCATATTGGGAATGTCCAAAAATTTTTTAACCAGCATTACAGAACTAAATTATTAGAGAGCAAGGGTGTAAACTAAATAAGCCAAAAACTAAATCAGAGTTTCTAGGAGGAAGTTGTGAAACGTAAGCCCATGAACTGTGATATAATTACAATTAGCCTATTGTTATGTCAAGATGAATAAAAAATAGCAGAAAAATCTATAAGCCTAAGTAAAAGCCTATATAATAACGTTGCTAGAAACAATTCCAGTTAGTTTCCAGCTTCCTCTTAAAATCAAACATTTGTAAATTAGATAACTAAAAGTAAAATGGTGACATAATAATGTGTAAGTCCTTAGACTTGATAACAGATTTTGAACCATCTCAAACTGATATTACTTCTTCAGTGGCCTTCCCTGGAATAGTTAATGCATGAAAGATTCTGAGCTTCTTTTCTTTGAATACTTCAGCCCTTATTTACAGTAACTGTTCATGAAGAATACTACTGAGCCATTACACTTTTTATTTGTTTGTTGGAATGATTGATTTTTTAAGTTCTCTATAAGGAACTTAGTACAAGTTGGATGCATATCTCCCTCTTCAATACCAAAAACTCATATTTTACAGCAAAGTTAAAACACCCTATATTTTTACTCTATGGAATTTCCCAGTGTCACAGCTATAAAAAATAGACTACAAGTGTATTCCGTACATCAGTTTCTAAAGTAGTCACAGGTACTTTTTAGTTTATTCTAGTTTCACAGGTTCATGTACTATACTCAAGCTTGGCAGGAAGTATCACTAGTTTCACTTAAAAATTAACTACTCTAGGAATACCTGTGTATTTATTTGAAAGACCCCCCCCCCTTTTCAGCATGTCTCTTGATTGTAGAATGCTCATTTTTAAATAGGACTTTGGGGGTGGGAACTACTATTTTTTTGCAGTTCTGAGACTAGAAGAAATAACTTTACAGGGGAAAAATTAGGAGAAATAGTTAATTAAAAAATATCTTGCACTAGTAATAGTTTACCTGAAAACCCCCAAAATTGTCCACAAGAGTTTTTCTTGGGAGAAGTGTGTCATAATGAAATTTTATCATGAAATTCAAACCATTTCATACATAAGGAGATGACAGAGGATGATGTTATAAAAAGACTTGGAATTCTGGAAAATATTAAATGAGTCTTTTGCCTCCAGCTAAACAATTTCATCCTAAACAAATAATTCAGGCAGATGATTATCTTAAGTTATTTGAAGAGCTTCTAAAATGGAATTCCATACCCTTAGTACCTTAATATCTGCTATGGACTGAATCATGGCCCCTCCAAATTCATATGTTGAAACCCTAACCCTAATGTAACTATATTTGGTGATATGAGCTGAATATTTGTGTCCTCCCAAAATTCATGTGTTAAAACCCTATACTCAAATGGGATGGTATTAGGAGGTGGGACCATTGGGAGGTAATTAGGATCAAATGAGGTCAAGAGGGTAAAGTCCTCATGAATGAGATTAGTGCCTTATAAGAGTCACAAGAGTATCTGGTCTTGCATTTAGGCCTTTAATCCATTTTGAGTTATTTTTATATATGGTGTTAGAAAATGTTCTGATTTCATTCTTTTACATGTAGCTGTACAGTTTTCCCAGCACCACTTATTGAAGAGACTGTTTTTCCTCCATTGTATATTCTTGCCTCTGTTGTCATAGATTAATTGACCATAAGTGCATGGGTTTATTTCTGGGCTTTCTATCCTGTTCCATTGATCTATGTGTCTGTTTTTTTGTACCATACTGTTTTGATTACTGTAGCTTTGTAGTATAGTCTGAAGTCAGGGCACATGATTCCTCCAGCTCTGTTCTTCTTTCTCAAGATCGTTTTGGCTATTTAGTTTCTTTTCTGTTTCCACACACAATTAAAAATTTTTTGTTCCAGTTCTGTGAAAAACGCCATTGGTGGGCTTCCCTGGTAGCGCAGTGGTTGGGAGTCTGCCTGCCGATGCAGGGGACACGGGTTCGTGCCCCAGTCCAGGAAGATCCCACATGCCGCGGAGCGGCTGGGCCTGTGAGCCATGGCTGCTGAGCCTGCGCGTCCGGAGCCTGTGCTCCGCAACGGGAGAGGCCACAGCAGTGAGAGGCCCGCATACCACAAACAAAAAACAAAAAACAGAAAAACAAAAACACGCCATTGGTAATTTGATAGGGTTTGCATTGAATCTGTAGATTACTTTGGGTAGTATGGTCATTTCAACAATATTGATTCTTCCAATCCAAGAACACGGTATATCTTTCCATCTGTTTGTGTCATCTTCATCATATAGTGTTTGGAGTACAGGAACTGCTAGAGGAAAACATAAGCATAACACTCTTTGACATACATTGTAGCAATATTTTTTTGGGTCTATCTCCTAGAGTAATGGAAACAAAACCAAAAATAAACAAATGGGACCTAATTAAACTTAAAAGCTTTTTCACAGCAAAGGAAATCATAAACAAAATGAAAAGACAACCTACAGACTGGGAGAAAATATTTGCAAACAATGCAACCAACAAGCAATTGAGCTCCAAAATATACAAACAGCTCATACAGCTCAATATCAAAAAACAAACAACCCAATCAAAAAATGGGCAGAAGGGACTTCCCTGGTGACGCAGTGGTTAAAAATCAGCCTGCCAGTGCAGGGGACATGGGTTCAAGCCCTGGTCCAGGAAGATCCCACATGCTGTGGAGCAACTAAGCCCGTGTACCACAACTACTGAACCTGCGCTCTAGAGCCTGCGAGCCACAACTACTGAGCCTGAGTGCCACAAATACTGAAGCCTGCACACCTAGAGCCCGTGCTCTGCAACAAGAGAAGCCACCACAATGAGAAGCACATGCACCGCAATGAAGAGTAGCCCCCACTCACCTCAACTAGAGAAAGCCCACACATGGCAATGAAGACCCAACACAGCCAAAACTAAATAAATAAAAATAAATAAATCTATTTAAAAAAATGGGCAGAAGACCTAAGCAGACATTTCTCCAAAGAACACATACAGCTGGCCATTTCTCCAAAGAAGACATACATTTACAGGCACGTGAAAAGATGCTCAGCATCGCTAATAAGTAGAGGAATGCAAATCAAAACTGCAGTGAGGTATTACCTCACACCAGTCAGAATGGCCATCATCAAAAAGTCTACAAATAATAAATGCTGGAGAGGGTGTGGACAAAAGGGAACCCTTGTGCACTGTTGGTAGGAATGTAAATTGCTGCAGCCACTGTGGAGAACAGTATGAAAGTTCCTTAAAAACTAAAAATAGAGTTACCATGTGATCCAGCAATCCCACTCCTGGGCATATATCTGGAAAAGATGAAAACTCTAACTCAAAAAAATACATTCACCCCAATGTTCGTAGCAGCACTATTTACAATAGCCAAGACATGGAAGCAACCTAAATGCCCAATGACAGATGAATGGATGAAGAAGAGATAGTATATTTATACAGTGGAATACTACTCAGCCATAAAAAAGAATGAAATAATGCCATTTGTAGCAACACAGATGGACCTAGAGATTATCATACTAGGTGAAGTAAGTCAGAGAGAGAAAGACAAATATCATATGATATCATTTATATATGGAATCTAAAAAATGATACAAATGAACTTATTTACAAAACAGAAATGGATTCACAGACACAGAGAACAGACTTAGACTTACCAAAGGGGAAAGCAGGAGGGATGGATAAATTAGGAATTTGGGATAAAAAGATACACACTACTATATATAGAATACATAAACAACAAGGACCTACTGTATAGCACAGGGAACTATATGCAATATCTTGTAGTAACCTATAATGGAAAAGAATATGTATGTGTGTGTATATATATATATATATATATATATAACTGAATCACTGCTGACACCTGAAACATTGTAAGTTGATTATATTTCAGTAAAAAATTATAAATACCAAAAATACATTTATTAATTTTTTTAAAAAGAGTCACAAGAAAGTTTGCTCTTCCTCTCTGCTCTCTGCCAGGTGCAGATATAAGGAGAAGTCAGCAGTCTACAAATCAGAAAACTTTCCTTACCAGAACTCAACCATACTGGCGCCCTGCTCTTGAACTTCCAGTCTCCAGAACTGTAAGAAATAAATTTCTGTTGTTTAAGCCATCCAGTGTATGGTAGTTTGTCACAGCAGCTTGAATTCACTAAGACATTTAGAGATAGGACCTGTGAGGAGGTGATGAAGGTGAAATGAGGTCATATGGGTGGGGCCCTAATCTGACAGGGTTGGTGTCCTTATAAGAAAAAGAAGAGACACCAGACTTCTCTCTCTACCATGGAGGACACAGAAGGCAGCCATCTGAAAGCCAGGAAGAAAGCTCTCACCAGAAACCAAATCAGCTAGCACCTTGATCTTATACTTCCCAACCTCTGGAACTGTGAGAAAATAAATTTCTGTTGTTTAAGCCACCCAGTCTATGGTATTTTGTCATGGCAGCCCAAGCTAACTAAGACAGTATCATAGAGTACTTCTTTATACTTACCTTTTAGGACAAGCATCTGGGTTCCTTTGGAAAGGAAGCCCAACATTCATACTGTACACTGGAATTTAGAAAGAGCTAGAGGGACAAATTGTAGAAGTTTCCTAAGAAAATAAAGGTAAGGAAGAGATTCTTAGTCATTTCTGTGCCCTAACATAGGAAATCTTCACCTCCTAGAGTAATCTGATGTTAGGTTGATGATTTTCGTATAACCTCATCTTATCTCCATCAAAGAGGGGAAAACATCACCCTACTATTACCAAAAACTCTCTGCTTGCAATAAGGTAGGTTGTCAACCATACCTTAAAAAAGTCATACCAAGATATTGCTGACAAAGTAACAAGGGCTTTCTGGATCTTTTGCTAATCATTGTCTCATGATTTTTTTCTTTTTACTTGCTCCAGAATTTTAGAGGATAGTTGACTAGGTCTTCTCCAGAAGATACGGCTGCATAATTTCATTATCATTGCATTATTTTCCAAAGACCCTGGCAGCTAGAATTCATCTTAAAATAATGATCTTCAAAGTGGGGTACCTCTATCTCTTGAGGTACACCAGGGCCACTTCATACAGCTGTGCAGCATAGGCCCTGGGGTGAAAGATATCTTTCACAGCTGTACGAGGGCATGGATAGGACTGTTTTCCTTTCTGACCACTTCTCTTACGTTCACCATATTCTTACTTTACAAAAACAAAAGATTGCTCTCTTATCCATCCCAAATCTTACTACAGTGTGTCTCTCAAGGGCTGTGTTGTCCAATACAATAGTCACTAGTCACATGTGGATATTGGGCACCCGAAATGTAGCTGGTATGAATTAAGATTTGCTGCTTGTATAAAATACTACAAGGAATAGTACAAAAAAAATGTAAAACTACCTCATTTTTAACTTTTTATACTGACTGAATGTTGAAATGATTATATTTTGGAAATATTGCATTACATATAACTTTAATTTCACCTGCTTCTTTTTGCTTTTTAAACAAATTTTAAATTACGTATATAGCTCACATTATATTTCTATTGGATAGCACTTCTGCTTTCGGAGAAGTCTCCCATATAAGGCATCAAAAATTTGCGTTCAGGCTTTGTGTCTTTCCTTTTCTTCTCTTTAAGAGTGGGTATTTTGGTATTCAGTGGAGCAGTTTGCCCAATATGTTCATTCAGATATAATGTAGAGTGTGGTTATAAGAGTGATGATAATTTTACTCAAAGAAAGCATTGCTCCTGAGTGAGAATGTTGAGAGAACCAAGCAGAGTATAGGTAAGAAACATTGGTAGCATCTTAGGTCATCCAGGTGACATGCTCATTGCAAGGCTCTCTGCCTTACTTAGCACTCTTCCTTAGAATTAGTATTTATAAGTGAGATGATTGTCCTATAGTAGTCCCAGATTGACTGTAAAGACTGGATAATCAATCCTTTTGTAATTCAGGGGGTTTCTAATTCTTTGCTTTCAACAAATTTGATGGAGAACCTAAAGTTGATGATTTAAAATAACATTTAATGAGATATTACTATGATACTTTTGGCATGCAATTCAGAAGTTGAAATAATTGAAGGACTTTACTATAATAAAACTATTCTCATCTATTTATGAGAACAGTGTCTCTGAGTGCTTATATCTATAAAACCCCAAAATAGAAATTGAATCTAGATTAAATTCTATCTCTAACAATAAATAGCATTCATCAATAGATTTTGAGAGATGTATCCAATAAAATTTTACTAATTATGTGTAATTATTATCAAAATTTATAATATATTGTTTCAAATTTTAACTACTGATAATTATAATAAAACTTTCAGGTAATTTTAATTTTAAAAGACTTTCAAACATAAAAATATACCGCATTACATAAAATTCTGGGAATGGAGAATGGAATGAAAATAATATTTAATTGAGAAAAAGGAATGATGTGAAATGCAGTCTTTTTTATGAATGATAGTGACTTTCTAATAAATATGTTATTTTGATGGTACTGGAAACATAAGAGTCATGTGATGATTTTATTTTAAAATGTCAATATTTATAGTATAATGGAAATTACATTCTTTAAAACTACATTTCTAATGGAAAATTTTAGATGTCAACTTTCAAAATTTATAATATTTTGAAACAGTTTCACAGTTTTTCAAAACTCTTTTAGGGACAAAGTGAGCAAAAATATTCAGATGACTGCCTCAGATGGCAGCTAGTCAAAACCGTCTCATTTTATAGATGTAGCAGCTGAGGACCACAAGTTCTGTTCTTGAACCAGAACCCAAAGCCACATTCAGTCACTCGCTCTGCAACTCCATTCCATCTCCTACGCAAAGAGGGCACACGGGGTTCTGAGAGAAAGTCCATGTTTATTAATGACAAGGTACCTCTAAGTAAAAGGTCATCTCTTAAGTGTATTTGAGTTTAGAGCTGTCTGACATCTGTGGTAGCCTGTCACCACTAGTCTCATCAGGATTCCTTTTAAGGCAATCATTTAGAAATATGAGGTGTCCATACATCTATCTCAGCAAGTTGGGTTGTGATTTATCTGACAGCTGACTTCCCGAACAAAGCTGGAAGCAGCTTAGGGGAGTAGATCTTCATTGTTTTAGTTGGCTTGGGCTGGGCTGCCATAACGAAATACCATACACTGGGTGGTTTAAACAACAGAAAGTAATTTTCTCCCAGTCCTGGTGAGATCAGTGAGATCAGTGTGCCAGCATGGTCGGGTTCTTTTCCTGGCTTGCAGACAGCTGCCTTCTTGCTGCATATGCCTGCCAAGAGAAAGCAAGATCTGGATCTGGTCTCTCTTCCTGTCCTTAAGGACATAATCCTATTGGATCAGGACCCTACCCTTATGACCTCATTTAACTTTACTTCCACAAAGACCCTACCTCCAAATATGTCACATTAGGGGCTAGGGCTTCAACTTATGAATTTTAGTGGGACACAAACATTCAGTTCCCAACACTCATAAATCTTTATATACCTTGTTCCTAACCCAACTGATGGCACTAGTGAGCATTAATAAATTTCTGCTGAATAAACTTATATTAATTCCTTATATCAGTGTCATAGTGGCAATGTAGTATAGCAAAGAGAAAACTAGCTCTATGACCTTGGGCAAGTCATATAACATATCTGAGCCTCAGCTTCTTCAGATGTAAAGTCTAGATAGCAACTCTTATAAATATGAAGCTTAGAAGGGAGGTGTGTCAAGGGTATGGAATCGTATGTGTGAAATAATAGCTCTATATAATACTTTTGCTTAACATTTTACAGTTTATGAAACACTGCTGTATACATCATTCTACTGAATGAAGACCTGAATGCCTCAGACACTTGTAGCACCAAGCTTCATGATCTTTAAGGTCTTGGATCAACTGGTATTGTGAAAAGAAAATAAGGTAACCTTGGACTTCACTAGGTCATAATTTCCGTGTTATGCAATGAAGTAATTCACTGCATTGGTCTAGCTCTCAGGGTGATCAAGAGGCCAGGTTAATAAATCTTCCCGGCAGGGAGAGGAAAATATTAGGTGTTTTAATGTCTATTCTTTTGCAAAATTAATCAGTTACTTGCTATTTCCTTAAATAAATTATTTTTCAGAATACTTATAGCCAAAGTTTTGTAAGTCCAATCACGGACACTAGATGGCACCATAAGAACCTCACCTGCACCAATTCCTGACAGTCCAACAGCCCTTTCTCACAATTTACAGCCTGAAGATTTTTAAGATAGAGTCTAGGGTGAAGAAAAGTTCTTTCATTTCTGTGTACAGTCTATAAGTTTTCTCTCTAAGAGGTTGCTCTCCTACTGTGAATAGTACGCAGAGGATCAAGGCTCTCGTGGGAAACTACAGACAGCGTGGGTCAAGTCAGGAGGCTTGGTCTGAGTCCCAGTGCTGATGCTTAGCAGGTTTTTGCGGAGAAAGTCTGTTTCCTGCCCTGTATGCATCTCACAGAATTGCTGGGAGGACCATACAGAGTCGTGTATGAGAACTGCCACGTGCTACAATTTTTTTTTTTTTTTTTTTTTTGGTACGCGGGCCTCTCTCTGTTGTGGCCTCTCCCGTTGCGGAGCACAGGATCCGGACGCGCAGGCTCAGCGGCCATGGCTCACGGGCGCAGCCTCTCCGCGGCATGTGGGATCTTCCCGGACCGGGGCACAAACCCGTGTCCCCTGCATCGGCAGGCGGGCTCTCAACCACTGCGCCACCAGGGAAGCCCCACGTGCTACAATTAAAAAACAACGTTCTTTCTACCTCTGCAGCCCCTCTTCCTGGGAGGCTCCTGCCTTTGCACCAGCTCCGGGCCTCTGCTACCCTGGCCCCTGCCTACTCTGTTTTCAACCACAAACTCACTCCTCAAGCATCTGTAAAGGACTCTGACAACAGATCTATTTTTCCACTTTCACTCAAACGGCTGAAACTCATGCTTCTTAGTGTCCCCCACCCCAGTGGTGCTCAGCTTCTCTTCAGTAGTCCTGTGGCTACTCGTCATCATCTGGAAGTGAACCCCTTAAAGTCATCAGCTTCACGTCCCATTGTTGCAGAAGTCGTCCCTCCTCTCCCCTCCCCACTTGCTCATCCCCTCATTGCGATTCCAGCTCCTCCACAGCTTCCTTCTCTCCCTGCCGCCAGCCCCTGCTTCTCTGCGCACAGAGCCCCCCCCCTTCTCTTCTTGCCTAAGCTCTGTACTCTCTCACCAGCACCTGCGACTCCCTCTCCCCAGTCCTCCGATGCTCCAGCCCTCAGGCCCCCACGGAACCAGTGCAGACTTCTGTTTGAGGCAGCGCAGAGCGCTAGGTGGAAGAGCACAGGCGTAGAATTGTTTATTACCAGCTTTTACACAGTGACGAGCTGTGTAAGTTACCCTGCCCACGTACACTACGGGTCCCTCTGAGCACCAGCACGGGGTATTTTAGGAGGATGAAAACATCTACCCACAGGAGAAGTAAGAGAGTTAGTAGGTAAGAAGAGATTTTCTAAAACATATTTTTATGCTTTTATCTTTTGCCTCTTCCATATATGTGACCACTCCCTGCGATCCAGAGGTACTTCTGTGGAGGGCAAGTGGATGAATAGGTAGACTAGGATTATGGGAGTGAAACGCAAATAAGAGGCAGGGTGTAGGTTACTTCTAAAACAGGTAATTGAGATATAAAACTAAAGGCCTGAAGAAAGTAGGGCCTAGAGATTAGGCCCTTTGGAAACAAAACAGGGGAGACCCAGGTATACCTGCCTTCTGTTTCCCACCACAACCAGAAAGGGTCATGAAGACCACGGAGGACGAACCTCAGAGGAAACGGGCAGGGGGGGCAGAGGGGCTGCATTGTCCCTGTATGGTCAGGCCCCCCACGATGACTGTTCCCTTGCTCTCTGTGCATCCCCTGACTGACCAGTCCCTGCCTCACCTGCATCCTACTCACCTGACCGACCTTCCCCCCTCAAAAAATGGCTATGTACTCGCCCCGGGCCCTGACTAGTGATTGCTTATTAGATCAGAACATCCGCACCTTGCTAGCTCATCAAAGGGGTGGGGAGGGGCGTGTTCCTCTGCTGGTTTCCCTGGTAACCGATGAGCCAACCTGACGTCACTTCCCCCTGCAGCTGGTGACCTCCCTCTCGCCGTGGTAGTGAAGACGCCGCTGTCTGCTCCACAGGGCGGGTCACGCCCGGACCTCGCTTCACACAGGTAAGACCCTGCTATCTGTTAACACCACTGACGTCTCTGTCACTGATTCTGGGGTCCTTCTACGGTCTTCAAGCTGGGCAAATACTGGGCTCACAGGCCTGCGGGGTGCAGCACAACAGTCCCTTTTCAAGAGTCCTATATTCACCTAATCGTGAAACCCTGAAACCTAGGTGGGTCCCTTAAGCCCCAGAAGCAAGGATGTGGAAGGAAAATCCACAGCATATATTTAGCCCTCAAAACAACTCCACAAAACCACTGTTACCCACGTAAAACAGCACCACAAGGCTATTATTGGCTCTATTTTACTGAATAGGAGAGTGACAGGATTTTAACTCAGGCCAGCTGACTTCAAAGGCCGTGCGCTTAACCATCACCCTACACAGCCTTTCAGTAAACATCAGTTCCCTGCACTCACCCCAGCCCCATCTCGGTTCAATGCCGGGGCTAAGAAGCTGAGTTAGGAAAGGCAGGCTACCATGTGTTTCATGCTCTTACTATTTAAGGTCTGAACTCAGCTGGGCCTTCGGTTCTGCTGCATTTCCTGTTGTTTGTGCTCCGTGGGCTCCCTTCACCAATCCCTGCAATAGGCCTAAACCTTCAACATCCCCTGCCCTGCTCACCTTCAGCAGTAAACTTGCCTGTGATTCATAGAGAAAATCAGTGCCATTAGGGGTGGACTCTCTCAGCTTCTCTCCTTCCCTCAACTTATCTTCAGGAGCACCCTCTCCTCCTATCCAACCAATTTTCGAAAGAGAGGTTTCTCTCTCTATCCTATTTCAGACCACTCCCTCCTTTGCTCTTTCACCTCCTCCAGGAGTTCTCTCAGGTGTCTCTTTTTCCAGTATGTTCAATCTTCGCCCTCTCTGCTGGGTCCTTTCAGCGTATAAACAAGGTAAGGTCTTTCCTCACCTTCATGTCACTTCCATCTACAATTGTCCTAGATTTCAGAAATTTCCAAGCACCAGTCCCTGAACTCTTCCTAAGTAGTGATGAAATCTCACTAATTCATGATAAAAACTTGAGCAAATAAGGATAATATAGTGAGTTTCTCATTAAGCTAAAGTAATTCAATTTAAATGATTTTCTTTTGTTCTGAAATTATGACTTTTTTTTAATGTTCTGATACTCTTTGTATAGGAGGCCCTCTGTATCTGTGCGTTCCATATCCTTGGTTACAGAAGGCCGACTGTACCACACCATTTAATACCAGGGACTTGAGCACCCGTAGAGTTTGATATCCTTTGGGGGTCCTGGAACAAATCCCCCAAGGATCCCCAGAGATGACTGTATGCCACCTATCAGAAGTGTGAAGACTTCACCTGAGCAACGAACAACCCTCTTTGCTGTAAGATGTTGAGATTTGGGGCACCTTTTTTTTTTTTACTATGCATTACCGAGCCAAGAAGCCCTCAAACTCTTTGGTCTCTGAACATCTCTGAACATCTCTACACTCTTGAAAACTATTAAGGACCTGTATTGACTATGTTTCCTTACTTTCTGTCTTCTTAAAGCTCTGGCACCTGGGACCTTGCTAGCGCAGGGGAGACTGCTCCTTTGAGGACTAGCTAATTCCTAGAGATAACAAGCTCCTCCCTTGTGAATATACCTCTCATGTGCAAGCTAACCAATCCAAAACCATACCCCCTCCGCCCCCATAAGCACCCCCTTTTTCCAGCTCTCACAGGGCTCTTATACTCTGGGCCAATACAGCGATGCGTTGTTTTACTGCACTTCACAGATACTGCATTGTTTACAGGTTGAAGGCTTGTGACAAACCTGCATTGAGCAAGTCTATTGGTGCCGTTTTCCCAGCAGCATTAGTTTCTCGTTAAGGTGTGTGCGTTGCTTGCTTAGACACAATGCTATTGCTCACTCAGTAGGCTGCAGCATAGTGTGTGCACGTGACGTTCATATGTGCTGGAAACCAACACTTCGTGTGGCTTGCCTTATTGCCCCATTTGCTTTAATGCAATGGTCTGGAACCAAACCAGCAGTATCTCCGAGGTATGCCTGTACTCACCTGTCCTAGTCACCTCAGGGCCAGATCCAGGAAACCCTAGGACAGCCCCTACACCTAAGAGCCTGCTGAAATTATTCAAACCTGCTTACCCTGCCTTGCCTGTTCCTTTCTGCAAAAACCACAGTAAGGCTCTCACCCATGCTTTCCCCTCGCTCCTTCAGCCTTCTGACTGACTTCCCGGTGGCCCTGTGTGGCCCTGTGTGACATGGCAGGCCTCCTACTCTCGGGAACAGACTTCCCTTTCAGTGACAGTCATCTCCTGGTCTATTGACCTAACCATACCCGAGTAATAACAGAGCCTACATTTTAAAACAGGACCTCAATGGACTTTTGTTTATGTGGGTTCTATATATTGATATTTACTGTTTTAGATATTAAAACTGAGAAATTTTAAAAATATGTAAATGAATCCATTATACATTAGCATAGTAATATCTTAATGAAAAATATATTTTCTAAAACAACTGTGAGAAGAGTAGCACTGTTTCAATTTTTGCAAATCTCTTTAATGTCTGGCTAAGCAGAATAAAGCTGGGTTTGGGGGTCTGCTTCTTCATTCAAAGAGCTGCAGTATCACATTCTGGAAAACTCCACAGTACACTCATGAGAGATTGAGAATGAAAAAAGCAAATAACATTTTAGCATTTAGTCATTGATTTTGAAATTGACCTCATAGACCCAGGGAAAATGTCCCCAGACCACACTTGGAGAATGCTAACCTACACAATATTGACTAATACAAGCAAGTTTTTTAGAATTTAATTTTTTTCCAGTTGTATTGAGATATAAATGACATACAGTACTGTATAAGTTTAGGTGTCCAGCATAGTGATTTGACTTATATACATCATGAAATTATTATCATGATAAGTTAAGTGAGCATCCATCATCTCATATCAACACAAAATTAAAGAAATAGGGGAAAAAACATTTTTTCCTTATGATGAGAACTCTGAGGATTACTCTCTTAACACCTTTCATATGTATAGTACAGCAGTGTTAATTATCTTTATCATGTTGTACATTACATCTCTAGTACTTATTTATCTTATGACTGGAAGTTTTGTACCTTTTGACTGCCTTCACCCAATATCCCACCCACACCCGTGCCTCTAGTAACCACAAATCTGATCTCTTTGTCCATGAGTCTGTCTGTTTGCTTTTGAAGTATAATTGACCTACAACACTATGTTAATTCCTGATATATAACATAGTGAATCAATATTTCTATACATTTCAAATTGATCACCACGATAAGCCTAGTTACCATCTGTCCCCATACAAAGATATTACATAATTGTTTACTATTTTCCCCACACTGTACATTTCATACCCATGACTCATTTATTTTGTAACTAGAAATGTGTGCCTCAGTCTCCCTCACCTATGTCTTATCTCCCCCTCAACTCCTCCCCTTGGCAACGACATGTTTGTTCTCTGTATCTATGTCTCTGTTATGTTTGTTCATTTGTTTTCTTTTTTAGATTCCACATGTGAGTGATATCATAATTTGTCTTTCTCTGACTTATTTCACTTAGCATAATACCCTCTAGGCCATCCATGTTGTCACAAATGGCAAGGTTTCATTCTTTTTATGGCTGAGTAATATTCCACTGTGTGTGTGTGTTTGTGTGTGTGTGTGTGTGTGTGTATGTATGTATCCATTCATCTGTGGATGGGCACTTAGGTTGCTCCCATATCTTAGCTATTGTAAATGATGCTGCTATGAACATAGGGCTGCATATATCTTTTCTAATTACTGTTTTTATTTTCTTTGGATAAATATCCAGAAGTGGAATTACTGGATCATATGGTAGTTCTATTTTTATGTTTTTGAGCAATTTCCATAATGTTTTCCATAGTGGCTACACCAATTTACATTCCTACCAACAGTGCACAAGGGTTCTTTTTTCCAATCCTTGCCAATACGTGTTACTTGTTGTCTTTTGATAATAGTCATTCTGACAGATATAAAGGGGATATTTCATTGCGAATTTGGTTTGCATTTCCCCGATGATTAGTGATGTTGAGCATCTTTTCATGTGTCTGTTGGCCATCTGCATATTTTCTTTGGAAAAATGTCTACTCAGATCCTCTGTCCATTTTTTTTTTAACATCTTTATTGGGGTATAATTTCTTTACAATGGTGTGTTAGTTTCTGCTTTATAACAAAGTGAATCAGTTATACATATACATATGTTCCCATATCTCTTCCCTCTTGCGTCTCCCTCCCTCCCACCCTCCCTATCCCACCCCTCTAGGTGGTCAGAAAGCACCGAGCTGATCTCCCTGTGCTATGCGGCTGCTTCCCACTAGCTATCTATTTTATGTTTGATAGTGTATATATGTCCATGCCACTCTCTCGCTTTGTCACAGCTTACCCTCCCCCCTCCCCATATCCTCAAGTCCATTCTCTAATAGGTCTGTGTCTTTATTCCTGTCTTACCCCTAGGTTCTTCATGACTTTTTTTTTTCTTAGATTCCATAGATATGTGTTAGCATATGGTACTTGTCTTTCTCTTTCTGACTTACTTCACTCTGTATGACAGACTCTAGGTCCATCCACCTCACTACAAATAACGCAATTTCGTTTCCTTTTATGGCTGAGTAATATTCCATTGTATATACGTGCCACATCTTCTTTATCCATTCATCCAATGATGGACACTTAGGTTGTTTCCATCTCCTGACTATTGTAAATAGAGCTGCAATGAACATTTTGGTACAAGGCTCTTTTTGAATTATGGTTTTCTCAGGGTATATGCCCAGTAGTGGGATTGCTGGGTCCTATGGTAGTTCTATTTGTAGTTTTTTAAGGAACCTCCATACTGCTCTCCATAGTGGCTGTACCAATTCACCTTCCCACCAGCAGTGCAAGAGTGTTCCCTTTTCTCCACATCCTCTCCAGCATTTATTGTTTCT